GATTAGGTATTTTTGTCATGACAGGAATCCAGAGTGAAGGCTGCATAGTGCAGTGGACCTGGGGCAGGGATTGTAAAACAATGAAGGAATTTTACTTTTCAAAGAGAAGAGTGAACTGGGGGAGGAGGGGTAAACAGGGAGAAAAGTGAAACAATGAATGAATGGAAATTTAAAAATTTTTTTTAAAAAAAAGGCTTTTAGCTCTGATCTAAAAGTGTAATAGTCCCAAGAAGCTATCTCATGTCTAGTCTCTGGTTCTCTGCTGTGACTGCTGTCTATGGTTGCTGCTTCCACAGGCCTCCTAGACTACCTGGCATCCTCAAAGACAAGTTGAATTCTCTAGCTTGCTCTTTCTGGTAATGAGATGTCTCCTTCTGCTGCTGGATGTGCTCAAGTTAATAGTGAGACTAGACAATCCCTTTGTGGATGGGCTAACACACACTATTTGCAAATTCCCACCCGTTCATATGGTAAAGTCAAATTCAATGGATAAGAAAACCATCTGAACCCTAAGATTTACACACTACAAAAGTCAATGTCACTCAGTAAGTGTTAATCAGATCTATTTTTAGTCTAACCTTTTAACCCAATGCTTTCTCATCTTAGAATCCTACAAGACACTCTGGGAGATCAAGACCTGTGATGGAGAAACACCCTTGACTCTGGCAGTCAAAGCTGGACTTGTCGACAACGTTAGAACTTTACTAGAAAAGGGAGTGTTGCCAGACACCAAAAATGACAAAGGAGAGACACCCCTTCTGATTGGTAAATGACTTTTTTCTTTAGACTATTAAAGTAAGAAAACAAACCAAAAAAATCCATTTATTTGTTAGAAACCACTGTCAATCAGCAAGACTTATAAAATGTCATCTCCTTCCAACCCCTAAGCCCTTCCACAAGTCTCACCTCATCTGTCTATGGTGCCTAGTGGGAAGGTGTTGTGTTGCCAATTCAACTTCAGAGAGTTCAAATCCACCAGCTGTTCCAAAGAAGAAAGATGTGCAATTTTATCCCAGGTTATTTATAACTTCTGAAAACCCACGGGAGGGTCAGCTATGATTGGGTTCCAACTTGACAGCATATAACAATGGCAATGTTAACACACAAGAAAAGTCAGATGTGAGAAATAACCACATCCTTCAGCACCAAGTTAACACCGAGTACAACTAATCATGAAGGATCCAAAACGGAAGTTTTATGAGACCAGTATTGATCCTTCTAGGACCCCTTTTCTCATCAGCCTTGTGTGCCTGGCCCATCTTTATGGTTCTGTGGTATATTGCAGTGAGGTTACACAGGTAACGTCCAAGAGGTTCTTAATCTTGTGTGGGATGATCTGATATTTCTTGTTGTTGTTGTTGTTGTTGTTGTTGTTGTGTACTATCGAGTCAGATCCAGCCTGTAGTTGACCCTCCAGAGGGTTTTCAGAGACAATTAAATAGGAGGAGATTGCACATCCTTCTCCCGTGAAACAGGTGATGAATTCAAACTACATGTCTGGGATTGCAGGGCAGCTTCTTGCCACTGATCTGATACTTACCAAGGATTTTACTTTTAATCCTGGACAGTGGGATCAGGGTCAGGAGGAGACCTTCGGGACTGCCTGGAACCATGTTCAAGTTCTATGACTCACCGTGACTGCAGCCATTTCCAGCTCAGTTCATTTTACTTCAGTCAGTACACATCTCCTTCATTTCACACCCTCTTGCAGTTTCCTAGTTCTTGTTGAGAAATCATGGAAAAACTTTTCTCCTCCATTTATCTGTTTTATGAATCAGGGAATAATCTCACACATAGTTGGCAATAAGGAAGTTGTATGAACAGAGGACATTTATCAGGAAG